GAATTTGGTTCGATTCGAATAAAAGATCATTACAAAAACTTTAATTCCGACTCGCGTGTATATAAATATTGTACAAGAATTTTAAAACATTTAAACTTTATCCATGACGTAATGATACAATAAATCGCGAGTTATGTCATATAATATAAAAAATATTAATTTAATATTGTTATTATCATACACAGTATGTAATTATATAATGGTATTCTATGCATGAAGAAAACAGTACATGTCACATCACGTGCATACAAGTAATATATCTAAATTTGTAACCGAGAACAACGAAAAAAAAAAAACTAATTCTTTTCCTCGTATTGTTATTTTTTTTTTTTTTCTGAACAAAAAAAAAAAAAGCAGCAGAAAAAGATCTGAAAAAAAAAAGCTCCCGCCTAAAAACTGAAAAATTTTTTAAAACTTTAATTTCTCCTTTATTTCAAAAAAAAAAATAAAATTATATCATTAGGCATGAAAAATGATGCACAAAGGACAATCAAAATCAAACGCAATATTAACTTGATATGTATATATATAATTAGTTGCCTATTTTGTTAAATGTAATATCCCCTTCGTGTAGATCTTTTTTGTCCTATTCATCAGATGTCAATTTACCTAGTAATAGTTATTGGAATATTGATGCTAAGCAATCATTTTAAGTTTAATGATAAAGATTTCGTACTAGGGTAAAACGGAGATTTGATTTTTATTTTGGCGTTTTGAACTTCGTCGATTCATGTTCCAGAATATCGGTCTATTTTACGCCACAGTTTAAAATTTATCTTAAAAAATGTACATACATATAATAACAATTTATCTTCTAAATTTGGAAGATACCTCTCATTTAAAAAAAAAAGCGCAGAGGGCCATGTTTATTATCCCATCGGCAATATATAAAAAAAAGGGGGGGCATTATCATAACTACCCGGCATAAGATTCCGTAACGATATTTATTCATCAGATCCGCAGCACAACGTTGCAGGATTTATCCAATCCAATTAATGTGTGAAAAGCGGATCCCAATTTACAATGTACATGAGATGATAATGATTGTGAGCTCAAAGTTATATGACCTTATTATTATAGGTAAAAAAAATACAATGATGTTACAATTCGAAATTCCTTGGAAATTTTCTATGCATTGGTTCGCCAATACTCTCTAAAAATTACACTACATCGAACATGCTTGCTTTTTATATGTGAAAAAATTTGACGCTTTTTTTTTCAAACGTACTTGTGCGATATATGATATCTACGTGCATTGAATTCACAAACAATTGACCAAATAAGTTTACAGTTTTTTTTTGCCATCAATGTCTTTTAAGGTGATACCGATGCACATCAAAATTTGTATCACGGTAGTACGTTGCAATTTGTGACAAATTTAGGAATTGTAAAAACTGGAGAAATGAATCCATATAACAAGGTATTACTTGCATAGGATCAAACCGGAGTCAAGAATTCCGCCAAATGTGATTGACAGCTTTGCTAATCATACAAATTTATCGCCTCTAATCGAATTAATATTATCACTTCTTTGTAATAGTCGAAATAATCAAGACGGAAAAGAAGCGAGTGAGATAGAGCACGATGACATATTTTTGGGGCGTTGCGTTGATATTCTCCAATAAGATCTAGGATTCTTTATTGCGTAATTAAACGAAAATCGATTGTTTTTTATATTTAGTTAGAAAATATGCGAAAAGAAAAGCAAATTTCTCCGATTCAATTGATTCAATTGTGGATTAAAAAATATCACTAGACTAATATGCTTAATGTCATCATCCGAAAATTTTAGCTTTTCAAAACAATATGAAGAACTGAATTTGAAAAAAAAAAAAAAATTTAGCCCTATAACACCAAATAAATATATCAAATAAACCATCGTTTCCCGCTTAAAGTATGTTGGTTTCATGTTGTACGATATTTGTGCGTAAAAATTTACTTTTTTTTTTTTTCTAAAAAAAAAATATATATATTTCATCCCAGTTAAAGTATTATAATGAAGTCTGCGTGTTGTGCTGTTGTGTATTATTTATTCATTATATTATGAGATAAAAAGACAAAGCTTAAATCAACATTTGTATACAGTAGGCATTGTTTTATTGTTGTCTGACAATTCAATTAATTAATGGAAGTTGTTTTGTTCCTTACGAAATGTAACAAAAAAAATTGATTAGTGAATCTAAATTAACGTGTAATGATATTCCGTACCAAATGTACAAAATTGGAATTCTTTCCAAGTAATTTTTCTTGCCTTTTTCGATTGTGTTGTACAGAAATTTCCCTTTGAAGGTTTATTCGATCAATCTCATTTTGTCGGATAATGCAAATAATAAAATAATAAACGAATTGCAAGTAAATCATCAAATTCATCACTCCTTAAAATATGCTATATGATGTTATCTGGCCGTTGTTTAATACATTGTCTCATTTATGGAATTATTCAACATCTTTGGGTGGATGATAAGGCAAAGGAGGAGGAGGGGCTTATCTACATGTAAAGGTTTGCGCGGTGTCACTATAAGTTGAGGCGATTGCATCAGATGGAAGAGGAGAATGTTGGGAAGCCAAAACCAAATGCTCTCGTTGTGGCGCATTTAAGCATAACCAAGTTAAATTATTATTGGATGGATGGCTTTTTTTTATCCACTTTTTTTTTTTAAAGTAATAAGTTATGTGTGATTACGTATGTGGAGAAATTATAATAATGGATGATGTGAATCAATTGTTTTGCGTTTGCATTATTTTCAAGGAAATAGGGATTTTTGTGCGAAAATTTTTTTTTCTTTTTGGACACAAGGCCAAATTCGTGAACAATGGATAAGCATTTGCAACTGTTTAAATATATCCAGGGAATTGGAATATGTTAACTCATGTGGGTGTAGTCTGCAAAAAAAAAAAAAATTCCATTTGATAGCATTTATAAAGTTCATGTGATAAATCAATTTGGTTATCTCCCCCAACGACGAAGTGATACCATCAATAAGGAAACTTCCAAAATGGATGGAAAGGGTCGACCAATGGAAGATCGAGAAAAAGGCCGTAAAATCCCGGACATAAGTATTGTTGTTTAACTCGCGTTTTTTGAGGCACGAAGCGGTTTATTGTATTATCTTATCGAAATTTTTTGAAGGCTCAATTTGGTAGTGTATGATATCATAGACGAGAAAACGTGTATCATTGATAACCGACAAGCCATATTATGCATTGTCGTAAACATTGTTGATTGTCTATGTGGCTTGTTGAACAGACATATTTTTTTTACTTGTAATATAAATTCGTATGCATGAAGTATGATATAATGCATTGTATATAAATAAATTCCAGGTGATAAGATTGGATCACAATGGGATTTGCCAGAATGAATTCCAGACTGTAATTTCATAATTCCTTTCAGCCATTTCCGTATCCAATTATATGTTGTCTTATAGGTATAAATATAATATCTTTCTGGTCCTTCTTTCTCCTTCCTTTTTATTTTTATCATCCTGAAAAGAAGCAAAAGATCAAAAAGAAACAAGCCATACCCGCAAATATTCCCTTTTTCTTGCCTATTTTTTTTTTTTTTTTCGGTTTCGAATCCTGTCACACAAATGATTCCTTTGTAGAAACTTGCACCTTAATTTTTACAAAAAAAAAAAATTTTTAGTCTTACCCAGCTTTTTTTTTTGAAAATCATTGGCTGTAGCAAGCCACAACCATCCATATTCCTCTTTTTTTATTATACTAAATCAAAAAAAAAAAAAAATAAATAAATAAGATAAAATAGTAGGACTATAATAAAGATACTTAAAAAGTAAGTTTTTTTTTTTTTTTTATTTATTCATATCTTTATTTTATAATTTTCATTACGTATTTTTTTTTAATTTATGCGTTGATGTCATACAACCATATATTACTTTTTATTACTTTTATATTACCTTTTTTTTTTCTTTTTTTTTTTTTTTTTTTTTTTTTTTTAAATATTATACATCAACACAATTAAAAATATTTTTTTTATATACATGTTTGATATTATTGAATCTGTAGTGTGCTTTACCTCGTTTCACAAATGCAGAGTTATATTTCTTAACTGCAACTATTTTTTTTTCTTTTTTTTTTTTATATTTCATTTACTTTACTTCGTCTCAAACAGATCGACTTAATTTTTTTTCCTTTGAAATTTTTTTTTTTTCATAATCTCCTTACAACTATTAAAACCCTGCTCTTCATCCATGTTTTCTTCTTCTATCTCTCACATTTTAACGTCCCTTTTCGCGTTCACTAAATGCCTCTTACTTCCGCATTTCCAAAACCCATAAAAGTACTTGATATTTAACGATATCAAATCATTTTTTAACGACCTTTTACCCGCCGACCCCATCCCTTTTTTCGTTCAATCAATTATTCTTGTAAAGAAAATTACGTTTCAATTTTTTTTCTATCATTGATTGAATGTCTCTCTATTTTGTCAACAGATAAAAACTCAAATTCCGAAAAAAAAAAGGTTCCCCTCACCACAAAGATTAAGGGATAAGGATATCGCTTGTTTCTTTCCGTAATCCTTCTTTTCATCATCCTCTTGCTTCTTGATACCATCCTTTCGTTTAAAAGACGCTGTTGTTAACTCAATTAGTTTCTTTTAAAAAAAAAGATTTACCTTTTTTTTTTCACCCTTTCAAGTTGGCTTAATAGTTTTAACGACCTTTTATTTTTTTTTTTTACCTTTTCGCTTTTTTTTCTTACGCTTTTTTTTCGGTTTCTTACTTTTTTTTCGCTTCAAAATTTTTTCTTCCACATTTTAATTGTCCGTTCGTCCGTCCGTTCATTCGTTCGTTAGTTCGTCCGACTTTCCTATATTAAAAAAGAATAATACTTTTTGTTCGTTCCCCCGATTATTCGATTCCTTCCGCACATACCGTTTCTGTCAATCATATCAAATTTTGTCACATTACACTTGATTCTTGGTAAAAAAAAATTCCATTATTCAAAATCACATAAACAAATACCGACGATCGTACGAAATGGAGACACAAACCCCTTGCTTGGTCGTTCCGAGAGAAACTTCAAATGTTCCTATTAATTCGGCTTCTCGTCCAAGACACCAGCGACGCAAATCCGTAAGATTTAGCCGGTTTGAAAAAGTTTATTACACACACTCCCCATTTGATTACGACCGTACATCAATCCTGGCCGAATTGGCTTTGGCCAAGCATCACATCCATCACCATCCTAACCCAATCTCTTGTTAGTGGTTAGTCAAAAAAATAATTTCTCAAAGTGTATGTAAATTTTTTATGATGCTAATTAAGAAAAAATTCATTTTTTTTACCACATCATTCGCACAATCATTATATAAATATATACAGTATATATATTAATTTATGAATTTCAACTTTTATTTTTTTTTTGTTCGTTTTACCAAATTCTTCTTATCGTTATCTATAATATTTTCATAGCCCACTAATTATTTATTTATGATCAAATTACTCTACATAAAGTACTACTACTACTACTACTACTACTATTTACCGCTTATGATTATTTTTTAAAAAACAATTAATTATGTATTTTATGATAACATTTTATTAGTTAGTTTTATTGCCTAAAAAATTAATACATGAAAAAAAATTTTTATGAATTCCCCCTCTCCCATATAAATATCTTTTTCTACAAAAAAAAAAGCGTTGCTTTTTATTTTAGTGGAGGATACCGATTCAAAAAACATGATTATTTTACGATTATCATCATTCAACTTTTTTTTATAAATAAGAAAATTTGTTATTATATATATATATATTATTTACAAACAAAATATTATCTCGTTTTTTTTTTTTTTTATGTAAATATATAATATATAATAATGATAATGATCTGGATTGGGATTATTGTTTGATTGGAACTTTATTTTATTCTGTACATTTTTTTTTTTCCTCGTTTTCTCATCTCGAACGAATCAACAAGGAGGCGGAATTTCCCGTCCTCTCCTCCCTTTTTTTTTGAAATATTTGAAAATACTTCTTGTATATAGTTTTTTTATTTTTTCTTCTTTTCTTTACCTTACTTTACTTTTATTATTACTTCTATCTTTTTTTTTGTTTTAAAAAAAAAAAAAAAAAAAAAACGTATTATTAGTTATTTTTTTATCTTTATTTTTTTTTTTCGTTTATATCATCCCCAAAACCCAAAATTTGGTTCAAATATTTCAAAAAAACGCGTAGCGTGTATTTCATAATCTTTAAAAAAAACTTATTACTATTTTTTTTTTTTGTTAATTATTTTTAGATTTTTGTAAAAAACAAAAAAAAGAAAAAAAAAATAAAAAAAGAAACGAGAGAAAAAAAAAAAGATAATTTTAAGGTCTTTTTATAATTTCGAAATTCCTTCCTTTTCTTTTCTCTCGAATTTTTTTTGATTTTTTTTTTTTTTTTTTGAAAACTTCCCCCACCTTTTATAAAATTGAATGACTTATTTTTTTTTTCCTTTTTTTTAACATATTTTATACATATTAAAAAATTTTTTTTTAAAAAAAAAAACTGAAAAACAATGAAAATTTGAAAAAAAAAAAAAATATATAATAATTAATAATGATTGTAAAAAAAAAAAAAAAAGAGTTGGGAACGGAGTGACTCGTTTCCCCACTTTTGCATCACCAAAGTTCTTTTGTTGTTTCGTCTCGCGTGATACGTATGGAACTCGATTTGTAAATTAATTGCATGACGCGTCTTTTCGATTTTAGGAAATAAAAATAAAAAAATTTCCAAATTTGGAGGTCCGATAATCAAATTACACAACGATTTAATTTACGAATCCTTTTTTTTTTTTTTTTTTTTTTTTGTAGTTCTAATAAATTTAATAACTTTAATATATATATATATAAAAAAATACGCGTTTATTTCTTGTTAACGGGTTTCTCGGTTATCGGAAGAAATAAACGACCATCCGGTTCCTTCCCTTAAACCAATGGGATTTAAGCTTATCAAGCATATAATCTTAAAGTTTTAAAACATAATTTTATTTTTAAAGCAAGAAGGATCCCATACAAATGCTATATATATACCTTTTGTCAAATATCAGATTGATCTATTTCCTTTGAAAATCTAATTGCATTCAAATCAATAAAAACACAGCTCTTATCCGAATCAATCTTGATCTGGTGAGCCTAACCAAGTAAATGGATGTGTTTTGATGAGGCCAGGTGAGTAAGTAAGGCGTGTGTAACTCTCCCAAGGGACAAGTCCTTCTACGGCTTTAATGTTTGTAAAGGAAATCCTTTAATGGTAATCTTAAATGTCTCAAATCGGTGCTCAAAGGAATTTTGAATGTAATTAATTTTTAAGCCTGAGATTTTTTTTTTTGATGTTTTGGCGTTTTCTTTATTTGTGTTAGCCAATAAATATTTACTAAAACTTTTTGAGATACGAAATGTAAACGTGGGTTTTTTTTTTTTTTTTTTTTTTTTTTTTGTAAATAAAGATAATGTTTGTAGTGGGTTAGATTGAATCTGGTAGTGTGTCATTGTGTTTACGCAGTTACCTATTAAATTAAACAATCAAATATATAAATTGAAAAATGAATTACAAACGAACTTTATATCCCATAGAAAGAAGTTTGTTGGTTCGTTGGTTTCGATGGTTGTACAAGCACAATTCCTACACGTTTCCACGGTACTACCCAACCATCAATTGAGCCTGTGTCAGGACACAACAGATGCACCTTATTAAAGTTGATATAAAGGCAGTTTTTGCATGAAAAAAGAGATCTTACCGCATTGATAATTTTTTTTTCGATTGTAATCAAAGGAAAAAAAAAAATTTTTTTTTTTTTCTTTCACCTGATTTAGGTAATTTGGCTTTTTTTTTTTCCTTCTCTTATTAATGTAAATCTATTGTAAACTTTTTTTTTCTTTTTTTTTCTTTCCTTTTTTTTTTTTCTCTTACATTTTGCATTTCTTGTTTGGTCTTCTTTGTTAAAAAATCATGATTTGATTACGAAAAGGGGTGGAAAATAAAAAAATTAGAGATAAGGATTTAAGGTTTAAATTTGACATTAATATTAAATATCTTAAAACGCACGGAATTGTGGAGAATGAACCCCCTTTTTTTTTGCGGGGAGAAAAAATAATTATCTGTATGAGGTGAGGTGAAAAAAAAAAAAAGGAGAGAAAATTAAAATTTCTTCTACGGTTAGTTAATTCGGAAAGTGTAAGCTTTTTGGTGAATGAATTAATTTCTCGTTGTCAACAATTAATTTTACTTTTTACAATTGACATTTTTTTTTTTTTTTGTTTACAATTAATACGACTGGAATTACCTTTACCGGTTAATACATGTGTCATTTCCGAAAGATACCATCAAGGATGAAGTTTTGTGGGGGACTTCCCGTAACTTTCAAAGGATTACCCCAGGATCTAGAATGACAAGAATAATGAATAAATAATAATCAAAAAAAAAAACCGCGAGACAAATACTCGTTCTGATAAACATGTAGGTATGATTTAAATAGAATCTTGTTTCAAACGAGTTATCCTGAGTCAAATTACCCAAGGATTCAGGTAATTGTGGCTCATAAATTAAACGTCTTTGGAAAGAGTTCAAAAAGTTAAATGAACCTAATTAATAAAAAAGAAAAAAAAATCCGCTAGGCGACTTTCAGTAAGATTACTTACATAATATTGTTTGTAAAGGCGTAGTATTATAAAGATAGATTGAAATAATGAATAAATTTTTCAAATGTTGCATGCATTTGCATTTTTTTTTTTTTTTGTCATGACTTGTTAAACACAGTAAAATTCCTTTATATATTCGGAAATGAATTCATTACTAAAACCAGTTGTGTTAAAAAAAAAATTTATTAAGAGAATTTGGTAGGGAATTACCGAAAATCTTTATAAAAAGAAGAAAAAGGTGCACATACATCTTTTTGTACCCAATGAGAATCCCTTTTTAATTTGCCGTTGTTTTACAAATAAGGAAAATGTCAATCTAAGTCAAAATGATCGTGGACTTTTTTATAAACATTTAAGTAATAATCTATTTACTTTTTTTTTTCCATAAATTTTAAGGATGATCCGTTTTAGAAAGAGAATTACAAATACCAAATTACCAAATTACGTAAATATCGTTACCTTTAAAAAATTTATTTATATATACAAATAAATATAAAACGCCCAAAGGTTAGAAATATCTTTTTTTTTTCTTGTGCCTGGTAAATGATCTATATACCTGTCTCTTAAAAGAGTGATCCGATTAACGACCGAGTCCTTTTAAAACAGCCCACTTGCATTAACCTGAGTCAATAAATGCGCCGTTTATAGTACCTCAGCGCTTGGGACCGATTGGTCCAAGCACTGCCAACCTTTTTTTTTCTAAATCTTTATGGAATATCTATCATTTTTTTCTTTTAAAGGAACTTCCTTCAAGCTTTGGGCTTGTCCAAAGAAAAAAGTATTTTAAATTAATCATGTATCTTTTTGACTGCTTTCAGGAAATTCCTCATTTATTATTATTCAATCAAGTCAATTCGGTTAACTCGGGTGATCTTTAATTCATTCATTGCTGACCTTCTTTAATTTTGTATAGGTGAAATCAATATGATGTAAATAACTCGGATCGTTTCCTTTCTGACATCGTTAATGTCACGTGCTTTCTATTTTTATCATATCCGTTTAATTTAACTGATAATTTACTTTTTTTTTCATACAATCGTACAATACGATTGCGTTGATGGATTTCCTCAAAAGATTTTTAATTAAAAATTTTCAAAGGTCTATTGTAAAGTTACTTGTAATACCTTTGACGGTTCCCTTAATAAGCAAGTTTTCGGCAGATTATACTGGTTTTTTATCTCGGCCCGATCATTATCCTACGTCTTGCCTTTTCGTATTTTAGCGATTATTATTATTATTATTATTATTATTATTGCATCTGTAATATGGGACCTTTGCAATAGAAAAGGGAGAAACGGCTGGAAAAAATAAAAAATGAGTTAATGCTAAATCTGAACATGTTGTATCATAAATTGGCATATAAAAAGTAAAAATGATTTTCTTCCGGTAGTTTCCCCCCTTTCTATTGCAAAGGTCCAATATATCCTAATCTTCTTTTTCCCTTCTGTCGATAAAAGATATGACGCGCATGAACAGTAGTTGCGTGATCTTACTGTTCAACATTTAACGGTTGTAAAGAAAATTTCGATGTTAAGCGGTCCCAAAAGATAAATTTGCCTGTTCCAGAAAAGATTTTTTTTTGTGGCATTTATATTTGACTTTCTATTGAATAGAATATTTATAAAAATCAAAATCATAACTTCTTCGGGAATTCAGAATAAAATTTAGGACTGACCCAGTCCCAACTTATCATGAAAATTTTGTTCGAAATCATTTAGGATCGTTTAAAATATTTACCACTAAAAAAATTTTCTGTAGAATATTAAATTAATTTAATAAAATAAAATAATACTTTCAACATTTGAAAAAATAATAATAATTTCTGAATATATTATAACCCAAAGTTGATTTTACTAAGAAAATATTACTAAGTTATGTTTTTAAATACTTAAGGGTATTGATTTTATTAAGAAAATGTTAGAAAAACGCATTAACAAGCTTAAAAGTGTTTTTACTAATTTATTCAAATCAAATCAGAATTTAAAAACTTGATTTTGATAATCAATTATCGTGTTTCTTTTAAATACATCTAGAATGATTCGAATCTATCATATAAATTTTATAATCTAACTGATACACTTTTTTTAACTTTTTCCATTTTTATATAATCAAAGATGTATACTTTATTAAACTTTTCTATATTTTAGCACAGTAAGTCAGTATTGACATTTGGCCACAGCAAAGAAATTTTTTGGCCAAATAACTAGGTGTTAATAAATGTATTAATACTTCTAAGAATTTGATTGGCATTTGGCCGATCAAATTGGCCAAATGGCCAAGGGCAAGGGCTAATACTACAGTAAGTAGGCAATTTTACTGAAACAAAAATGAATTATATAATCATAAGAATAACATTTGGTAAACTATCTAATGTTATTAGTATAATATATGAATTATATACCATAGAACACTGATTAAACCACCTTTATGTAAAATACCCTCTAAGGTTTTGGGGTAAAATTTTATAAAAGGCCTGGATGGTTTATATAGGGTGTTTTGTTTTTAATCAGAAAATAGCTGTAAAACTATATAAATCATGTGATTAATATACCATTATGATATTTATTTATATTTATTCAATTTAAAAATGCAAAAAAATCAGACTTTATTATTTATTTAAACATTAGCAAAATTAATTTCATTCTAATTATTATAATCCTTCTTTAATTTATTATTTTTATAAGACTATATTACAACCAAAAATCATATTATCTTTATAACCATCAGTTTTAACTAAAATGTCACAACATTTGAATGATTTACAATTAAACTTATATTAATTTTTTCTTATGCATCTTTTACCTATGAATATATTAAAAAATATGAAGATTTTTTATTGTATTCAAATAAAGTTAATTTATGAATTTCATTTATCGTCCACTCATTATAAAATTCACAAATCTATTAAATAAACATCCTTTTAATTTATAATAATAAATATAAAAATAAATAAAAATTAATTAATTATACTTATATTACATTTAAAGTTTTGTTAATTGATACATTAAGAGATTGTAACTTAAATGTTAATCCATTAGAGATTATTACTATATTAATTACTTTTTATATAATTTTTATTTAATAAAGTTAACTAAATAACTATAAAAAGAATCTAAGATAAGAAGTGAATTAGGATTAAATAAATTAATAGTTCTTTAAACCAGATATTTTCTATTTACCAAATCATTTCATTTTCATTAATCTATCCTTTTACATTTATTTTTATAAATATACTACCAAAAAATTTAGATATATTTTTTAATTTAAAATAATAACAGGTGATAATTTTGATTTATCAGCTATACAATTCAAAATAATTATAAATAGTTTTAATACTAATAGTATTAAAATCATGTTTTTTTAAGTATATGAATTAGATATTATAGGTATTTCATCTATATTATTAATAAATTAAAGTAAGTAATTGTATTATATTTTTCTATTAAGAATAAAATTTTGCTATTTTATAAGTGAATCTTTTAATAGATGCTAAAATACTATTATTCTTTAATAATTTAAAAAATTATAATAACTTATAAATAAACCATTTATTTATTTGAAATTTAAAAAAAGAAATATGATATTTTTCTTAATATCTAGTAATTTGTATAAATTCTTTAACTTTTTTATTATTATATTTATAATAATTAGAAATTTTATTCTTGATATTTCAATATCCAATTTGCTAATTTTTTTTTAAATTTAAAATAAATTGTTATTTATTTTTATATAATTTTAATAAATGAGGTGTAAAGGCTTTAAGCTATTTTTTTTTCTTCAATCACAAATTTGATTTAGTTATAAATTAAATATTTTATAGTAATATAAATACTATTTGAATTATTTAAAAAATGTAAAACCATTTATTTTTTGTAAACTAATTAGTTTTTTTTTTAAAAAGTAAATTTAAAATTTTTGATATTTTTATTTACTTTAACCATTATTAATAATAAAATATGATATAAAAGTAAATGCATTACAAAAAATAGAATATGATAATATTAAAAAATTTTATATATTTATGATTTACAAAATTTAATCAAATTACTTACCTCTTATAAAATATCCTTTCTTTTCAATCAAATTACTTAGATATTTTACATATTTATAGATAGATTTGTAAAATACTTAAATATCTAAAGTAATTTAATTAGTTTATAGTGTATATTTTTTAAGAATATTATATGTTGTATAAATTAGAAAAATGTTTATTATACTAATTTTCTTAGAATTTTTAATTACAAAGATATTTTATTTATATATATTTTAAAAAAATAATTTAATAATAAATTTTTATTTATTTTTTTATAAATTTAAAAACATATATAATTTATTTATTATAAAAATATACACAATGTTTAAAAATTATTACATATCGCTTATTATAAAAATTTTTTACATTTTGAATAAATTACATATATTATTATAAATACAATATATCTTTTCTAAAAATATTTATTAAATGCATATTCTAAATATTAATTAAATTTGTAAAAGAAAAAATATAAGTTAAAGTTAAAATCCTTAAAAAAATAAAAGGAAATTGCTTAAATATTAATTATTATCTTTATTTCAATTAATCATAAATCTTATGTATTATTTTAATCACTATTTAATCAATTGAAAAAAACATATAAAGGAATTTTTAAAATAAAAAAATTATAATAATTAATTTTTTTATTTATAAATTTAATTTAATTTAATTTTTTATTTTGTTTATATTAATTATTTTTTTATTTATTAAATTTTATTTTTTAAAAAATAATTTTAAGATTTAAAAATTCAAAATATAAAAAAATTTTTATATTAATAATCAAAAACTTATTTGTAAATTTTGTTAAAATATTTTAAATTATAAAAAAAAATCTACATTAATTATATATTTTAAAATCAAACAAACATAAAAAGAATATTTATAAAGTTAAAAATAAATTAAAGAAAATTGTTAAATAACTCTTAATTTTAATAATAATAATTTAAATAAATATAAAAATATTAATACTATTTTAGTAAAAATATTTATATACAGTCAACTCTTGTTATAACGAACTCTATGTCCTAGACCTCAACTTCGCTATAAGGTTGTAGTGAAGATTTTAAGAGATTTGATAGGCCAATTCGCTATAACATGAGTATTTTTATTATATTTATTCAAAAAATTCGTTATATCAAGAGTTCGCTATATCAAGAGTTGACTGTAAGTAGATATATTACTTGAAAAAGTAAATAAATTACAAAATTTTTTTTTAAAATTTTATAGAAATAACATATAATAATTTTATAAGAGTTTTTATTATAATTCTTCTTTATTATAAGAAAAGTATTTATTAATAATATATAAATAGAGATTATTAATATTTAAAAATTAATATATAATAAAGATTATCCTTATAATTATTTTCAAATTTCAATTAAATTGCAACTTAATTACATTATAAGTAAATTTAATTACATCATAAGTTATAACTCAATTGTATTATTTTTTAATTATAGTAACTATTTTTAATATTATTAACAAATTAATTGACTAATAGTAATAAAGTCACATAAATAATATAATATAACAATCTCTTAATTCAAAATTCTAAAAATACTAAGAATTCTGTAAATTCTGAAAATATAGGAATTTTATATAATTCTACTGATCTTTCAAATACTAACAATAACTCTAATTTTTATAGATTAAATAAAATCTAAGAATACTCAATTTAATGTTTATTCTTAATATTTTACTTTTATTATTATTTTTATTTTATTATGTATTTTTATTATTTTTATTATTTTTAGTTTATTTATATTTTATTTATCAAAATAATTAATTTATAATATAGTAATTAATTAGCTATAACAAAAAAAAATTTGTATAAATAAATAAACTTTTCCTTATATTATAAATTAACTCTTTTACAAATTCTATAATTCTTTTGTAAGTTTTGAAATATAAGTTTTAATATTAATAAAAAATCAATTAAAATTTATATTATTTTATCTTTTTATGCTTTATATAATCTGATATAATCTTTATATATTATTTATAATTAGTTTGTCATCTGAATTTTTTAATTAAATTTGTTTATAATATCATTTTTTAAGTCTTTATACTTAACAAATTTGTCAAGTTTAATATATAAATTTGATAAAATTAAGAGTTAGATAAATTTTAATATTTTAACTGCAATTAGTAACTTCAAGTAAGAACTTAAAGATGTAGCTGATTTGAATTAAAGAATTCTGCAGTGATATTATTAATTTTATTTTCAAACTCTGTTTTATTTATTCTTTTATGTTTTCTTTTTATTTACAATTTTAAAGATAATTTTGTATCTTATTATGTATGTTATTATATATTATTATTTTCTATTTTAAATTTTCTTTTACTTTTACTAATTTATTACTTCAATTTTTCTATTTCTTCAATTCTCATAATAATTCTCTTTTTTCTTTTGTATTCAAGTATATTTATATTTTTCTTTAATATTTTCATTAATTTTCTTTTTGATAATATAAACTATATAAGTATTAAGAAAGAATCAGAAATGATATCCTTTAAAATTTCAAAAAAAATTTTCTTTTGTCATTATTTTCATTTAAGAAAATTAAGTTATCATGTAATCACAATTATAAATCCCAATTCTTATATTATTCTTTATTATAATATTACTATATTATAATATTAAAAATTAATAAAATAATTTAATAGGAATGATTAAATTTATTAAATTTAAAATAGTATATCTAAAATTAATTAGAGTTTTAGTATGATATTATAAAAAGTTTAAATTAAAATAATTAAAATTTTAGTATAAGAAAAAAAATTTATTAAATTTTAAAATTGAGATAATTTTGTTACCATGATTTTTCATTTGAGTTCTACTTTTGTAACTTCCTTTCTTTCCTTTAACTTTCTTTAAAATTTTTTTTTGTTAAAATAATTGATCTTGTAAATCATCATTTATATGACTTGAATTTTCTATTATATAAATTCTTTTTGTATATTCTATACTAAATTAATCTTGCTACAATTTAAATTCTTCAATTCTCATATTTATTGCTTTTTCTTTTGAATAGAATACTTTAATATATTACTTTAAAAATATCTTTGAAGAAAAATATTTATAGCATTTTTGGCATATAAAATATTATATAAATCTGAATTAATACTAGAATAATATTTATTATAGCTTAGTAATTTTTCATTAAAATATTTTAAAGTGTAAATCAGATTTTCAAAAATGATTATTAAACCTTATACAATAGAAATAAAAAACCATTATTATTGAATAAAAATTCATAAATTTTGGATACATATTATTATAGAACTAATTAATCTATTAGATTATGATTGTTAAGAAAATAATTTATTAGATAGCAAAATAGTAATTATATAAGATAATACATTAATTAAGATACAGTAATTCATGTGATATGACACAGTAAATAATTGTTAAACAAATATAGTTAGAATAAACAAATGATATAATTAATTAGATAAATAATAATATAATTAATTAAGTAATGTAATTAGCTAAATACTTGTAGTTAACTGTATTTAGAATACAAGAAAATAAAATATAAAAAGAAATAGAAAATCAGAAATAGAAAATAGAAATACAAACAGAAATCATAGAAATACAAGTAGAAATTGAATAAAAATCTGATAAGAAAGATATTAATGATGTCATAGAAATTTTCATTTATAAACTCTTAAAATTCTAGGTAGTTTTAGAAAAATCAGTTTTAGATTGACAAACAGTTTTATAATTACTTATTAGGAATTTTTATATTCATTATTTTCTTTAATAAAAACACTTTTATATTAAATAATTATTATTTGTATATTTTGAAAAATTAGTTTAGAGATAAGTTTAATGAACTGAAAGGGATAATATAGGACCCTGAACATCTTCAATATAACTCATAAATGATCAGCATAATTTTACTGTAACTCTAAGCAATTATTTTTACTTAAAAACTCTACACAAACTAAAATCTTAGTTTAAAAAATCATTTAAAATAAGCAAATTCAACATCTTAGTCAATATATTTAATTTTATATAAAAAATAAATTTTATTTAAAACTAGTATTAAACTAGTATTATTTCTTTTATGTCTTTACGATTAAAGTAATTGTATACTTTCTTTCTAAATCCTTTTAAATTCAAAGAATTTTCAGTTACAATAATATCTGTATTTGCTAAATGATAGATAATATTATCAGGTTGGTGGTGTGTAAAAATTTTTGACTTTTCATTAGTTATACCAGAAAAAATGTTAAAATAAATTGGCATAAATATATGAAGCGTGATATATGGTAAATTGTTAAGATCAGTTATTTCTTTCGCATGATAAGAATAGTAATTATAAACTTTGTAATATATAGTTACAACACGTGCAATATAAAGTGTTAAGCCAAAAATCACAATAACAAATTAATTATTTGATAAAGGATTATTAACATTAACATTAGCATATTCAATATTTGGAACTGTATAAAATTAATTGTTAATAAAAAGAAAAATTAAAAAAAATATATAAAAGTATATAAATATAAATAGAACTTACTTTTGCAAATAAGTGAATGAATATTTCATTTCTTTTTATTCTTAAATTCCTTATTTTTTGCAATTCTTCTTTATGTTAATATGCAAGATTTGTCACCATAGTTTTTCTGTTTTTCATCCAATGTTTTTCATGTTGTATAATAAATTGCATTTCTGGATTTTTATTATTGACACAATATGCGATGATATGACTTGCTTTATTTGGATTTATTATTCTTAGATCACTATTTCTTGCGATTTGTTCACTATGATATATATGTTCTAAGATCTTTGAACTATAGGTTTTATATTTAGTTCAAATTTCTATTATTTGAACAAAATTTAATTGTTCATTTGAAAGAATATATTAAATATCTAAATTATTAATTATTATTTAAATTAGGATTTGTTAAATTTAAAGTTTAATAAACAACGAATAAAAATTAAAAATTAATTTATTATTATTATTTTCTAAATTTAGAAGTAATAAAAATTGAGTATTTTGAATTAAATTAATTTGTTTAATAAGTTCTTCTGCATTTAATTCAGGTATATTATCATCTGATAAAGAAAAAGAACCAGTTTGTTTTGAAGCAATATTAATAGTCATAGAAATTTCATTTTCCTTTAAAAGTAAATCTTCATCTGGTTTGTTTATTCTATTATCTATTGAAATGTCATAATTTTTTGGATTTTGAATTAAAATTATTGGTTCCATATAAGCATAAAATAATCTAGTGTTATTTTTAGATGAAATATTTATGCATAACATTTCATATAATTCTGCTATAATATTAAAAGAATCTTTAAAACAATCACATATAGCAGAATCTGTTGGCTAATCATGTAAAACATTAAGTAGATCAATATTTAAATTGGTATCATTATATTCAAAATGATATCATTAATAATAAATTTTTGTATTAAATTTAAGTCAAAAAACATTTTTCATATTATATCTTATTTATTATACCTTTACATACTGATTTATCTTTCCTATATTGAATATTATTTTTCAATGCTTTAGAATGTTATGCAATTTTTGAAATAAAATAAAATAGTTCACTATAAGTAAAATCAGAGGTTATTTGACAAGCTATACTAAAAAAATGTTCAGCTGCTTCAGATTTATGCATCCATGGAAGTAAAGGAACTGATAGATAATATTCATGGTATGCTTTTACCAGAAGAACCATTGATTTTGCTAATGATATAAGAATAAAGTAACTTTGATTGGCTAAAAAGTTTTTTTTTAAACTGATAAAATTGGAATAGATTTCTGATAAATTTAATATATGCTGATGCCAAAATCGAAGGAAAAAAAATGATATTATAATCATTTTAATACATTCTAATGGATTAATTTTTCAGTTAAGGTAACAATCAACCAGTTCTCTTTAATAATTAATATATAAAAATTCTAATTAGATAATTTATTTTATTTATAGCTGTAATTTCGTAAAACTTACCAAATATAAATAGTAAAACAAAAAAATTCACACATCTCTTTGTCAGAATTTTCCAAATGTTGCAAATAAACAGTTTTTAAGTTAAATAAACAAAAAGCTCTATATGCAACACCATCATCCTGATGATCAAGTTTTATAACATCTTGTTTATACATTATAGAATCTAAGCATTAAGAGATATGTAAAAAATGATCAAAATGTGCTATTGATCATCTAAGTAATAAAACTCATGCATCAGACATACTTATATTTTGACAAGTTTTTTTGACGTATTTTGGGTTCTAGACTCTTAAAATAGGGCTAACTAATGGCAAAATTGGACAACTAAATATTACATTAAATCTCGTATCAATTAGTTATAATCTTTGATCTACCACCATACTTTGAATTGTTGTTTAGATCTGAAATTCAACTAATGCATCATCAGAATTGATACTTAAAATATGTAAATTTAATTAGGATGCAATATCTATTAAGAGTTTTTGATGAAGATTAGTGATTTCAGATGCTTTATAAGAACTATTATTAGGAATTAATGCAATTATCACTAGTGGAAATTTAGATAGCAGAACCTGTATTTTTAATATAATTAATTAACATTAATAAATATTAAATAATATACAGTATGATCTAATTAAATAAAATTAATTTACCTGCAAAATATATGCCCAAACACTACTTGCAAGTATTTCTTCACCTTTTATTTTATTAATTATTTGAGGAATTTGATCATAATCACTAATTTTTATTTCATTATTATTAAGTGTTGATCTAATTATATAGCTAAGTTGTGGGGAATAACGAAGTATAGGTAAAAATTTATGTGTATTATATCACTTTGTAGTATTCTCCCTCCATTATTAAATGATATTATTTTTGATCCTTCCCTTACATATTCTTAGTTCATTGATTTTTTTCATTTGCGTCTTTATATAATATTTATGCATATTCATAAGTTTCAAGTTATCATATCACATTCTAGCTATTATATTATATTTCAGTTATTGTACTTTCTTTTAGTTATGTCATATGATTTGTATACTCCTGATTATGTTGTGTTCCATATAACTGTATTATCTAATAGCTATATCAGATGATTTGTGTTTCATTACATTATACCAGTTAATTATTTATCTAATATTATGTGATTTTTGTCTAATTATTTTTCCTTTATAATCCTCTGTTAAATTGATTATTTCCTAATCTCTTTTTGTTATATTTCCTTTAATTTTATCTATTTTGTTGTAAATGATTACATAATAAGTTATTTTAAGATTTCTTGACTTTACAGTAAAAGAAAGAAAATTACCAAAAAAATTTTTTTTACTTTAAATATTATTTTTTTAATAAAATAAATCCAGATTTAACATTAATTCAAAAAAAATATTTTTGGTAGTTTTCTCTCTTTCTATTAGAAAACACTTATATACTTTTAATAACTTTAGAAAATCTTTGAAAATAACATTAACTTATCTTTGATAACTTAAAATAAGTCTTTAATTATTAAAATTAAATTATCTTTAGCAAGAAAAGAAGATGAATTAGTTATCTTTTTACAAATACTATTAATAATCCTTCTTTACCTGCTTTTTAAAATTCTAGTAGAAAATTCTAATCCTAATATTACCTTATCACTATTACTAGTAAAAATGTATTGGAATAGTTAGTTTAAATTTATATTTTAGCTTAATAATTATATTTTATATATTGTATCATTTTTATTAAAGAAGAAAAATTAGATAATAATAGTAAAGCAATTTGTAATTTAGCAAAGACATTTTCAGATTAGATAGCAGTTTTTAATTTTGAAATTATAGCTCTTTTTATTAAATTTAATGCAAATCAGTAAATAAATTTTTAAATTAATTATTAAATTATATAACATTAAATTAAATTGTTAATTAACTTTATTTTATTTAGTTTTGTTTCTGATTTAGATTTTTTAAAATTAGAAATAAACCTTTAATAGCTTTTATTGCTAATCATGTGAATCAAACTCAAGCTGCATTAGAATATAATGCAAATAATCTACTAATTTCATTAGAAATAATTACAAAATATAATTATAATAATATTGATCTTTTAGAATTTAAACCTTATTTTAAATAAGCATATCAAATTGCATTAAACAAATGGAATAAGTATATTCAATATCATTCAACATTATTTTTATTTAAAGATATTTAATGTTTTGATTTTCAGTTTATTTATACACAAATTAATAAACAAAATATTTTATTATATATTAATATAATTGAATTTTAAAATCTTATAAATATTTTATTAGATCAATAAAGTATTTATAGTAGATTAGAAAAAAGTATTTAAAGAAGAAGAATTTGGATTTAAATAAATATTGAAAAGAAAAAAGTTTAATATTATCAAATTTATCAAAAATAATATTGATTTATATTTAATTACCAATAGCTGAAATAGATATAAAGTGCAGTTTTTCTAATTATAAAATATTTTAAGTGAAAGAAGAATGTGCCTATTTGAAAATCTATTTCAATACTTAATTTTTATATTATAATAAAATAAATAAGTTGATTATTTTTGCGAATTATTTTTACTTTAATAATTTTACCTAAAATATAAATATTTAAATATAATTTACTAGTATTATGAACACATATTATTGTATATTTTATTTATTAACATATACATATTTTGAGATTTACCACTATATATTTCTGAACACCTTATACTGTAAATTCTAAAAATATAGAGGACTGAATATTTTTATTTATATTATGAATATAATGTAAAATCTCATTATAATATAGATCTTTCTTAATTACATACTAGAAATGTTAAAGGTAATAAATTAAAATTATATGATTTTTAAAAATATATATATATAAATATTTATATTTTATTCTTATTAATTAGAAAATAAAAGACTTTCTTTATTTCTTATAATTGATTTATTTAATTATGTTCTTAATGAATTTCATATCTTTTTACGAATTTTTGATATATTAATAAAATATTTCTTTAAAGATTTATTTAAAAAATAATTTGTATAAAACTTTAAAAAAAAAATTGAAAAAAATAAGTAAATTTCATATTTATTTTAAATTTTTTTAGTCTGATTAAAGTACTTAGAATTGGACTTTTCTATGAAATCTGATAAAAAATATTATTGTAATACTTTTCTGTAAGTGAATTTATATCTGAATCATATAAAATAAATTTTAAAATTTATGACGTAAATTTTATCGATTATATAAAATTTAAAAAAATTATCTTATATTAATGAAGAAATCCTAGGATTTGAAAAAAATGTGAAAATTTGAATAAGAATATTTTATCATTCTACTATAAGTCAAGTGAATAATGTAATAATAATTTTAAGATTATATAGAAAAGATGATATTACTTTATATATATATACATTTTTAATGCATATATCTTATTTTTTACGTTACTTAAAAGAAAAAAATTTTTACTTAGATTATTTTCAATATATAGTATTGAAAAAAAAATTATGAATAAGTACAGTTATTTATTTATTTTTGAATTAAATTTAATCTTTAAATTAAATATATTTATCTTATTATATTAAATTATTTTTTGAAGGAATTATAATAGGAGGTGATAAAAAAAAATAACACCTGTTGTTTAAGATATTCTAGTATTTAAAAATAAACAAATTTTTACTTAACAAATAATATTTTAAATGAAATAATATATAATAATAATAATATATAAGATAATGGTTATTGAATATCAAGACAAAAAAAATATAAGAAATTTTCTTATTAATGCCTATAAAAAAATTAAATTTAATGCTAATTTTTCAATAAAAATAAATAAAGCAAATAAAAAGAAAGGGATTTCTATGATAAAACTATTTATTAAACCAGTATTATAGTTAATGCTATTAATACTTATGTTAGTTTTGAAGATAGGATTTTTGGTATTATTATGAAGAAAATAGATAATAAAATTAAAATAGAAACCAAAGCAAAAGAGTTAATTAGTAAGTTTAAATAGCAAAAAAAAAATATGTACTTAGTAATAAAATTGATACTAAAATTTTTTAGAAATTCTTTTTGAATAAAAAGAAATGTTTATTTTATTTACACTTTTGGAATAATGGTTATTGATTGATTATCAATTTTATAGAAAATGATAAATTATTGTTATTCTAGTATAAAATAAGAATAATCATTTGGATTTTAAGTTATGAATGCTGTATATAATTAAATTTAAAACTAAAACTTATTAAGTTTTGAAGGATAATGTTCATTTGAATTATAGCTTATTATTTGTGCCTTTTACTATTAAAATTATAGTGAATCATAATTTAATAGCAAACCTTCCATTTAATTATTTAATTTTAATATGTGAGAGAAAGAAAGAGTATAGTAAAATGCATTATTGATAATTGATCTCTTATCCATTTATTATATATTCTTTTTTGATCTTTTCCTTTTCTTTTATTTTTTAGCAATTTGTTTTCTTTTCAATTTTTTATTAATATTTCTGTTGATATTTTCAAATCCAAATATATCAAAGTATAATAAGATTAATTTCTTTATTTTAGATTTACATTTTACTAACATATCTGTATCACTTCTATATGTTTCTTATAAATAGATTTGATGTTCCGGAAAAAATGTTAGCCGGATTTATTTGCCGGGTATTTAATATTAGAGATTTGTTAAATTGTTCCAAACAATAATATGTCACTCCTAATTAAGTAAATGTGACCCGGCAAAAAAATCCGTCTACATTTTTATTTTGATCCACAAAGTATTTCAGAAAAATTTTCTCAACAATCTCCATTTGTTTTAAGAAATTTCATTGCAAAAATGTTAGTTATAAATTCGAATTAATGGAAAAAAAAGGGCTTTGATACATGAAAAATTTAGGTTAATTTATACTTCTTTTATTTAACAAATGATTTTTTAGGTCAGATTATTGGATATCACAACAAAAGCATTGGTGTCAATATTGCCGCATTTATATTGCGGATAATAAACCCGTAAGGATTTTTCGATTTGACGTTTAGTTCATGAACTTAGAAGGTTATTATAAAAATGATTTTATTATTAATAGAGCCGTACAATGCATGAACAAGGTAAAAAACATAAAGAAAATGTTGAAAAATTTTTACGTGACATTCGTCGTAGAGATCATGAAAATCGAAAGGAAGATGAAAAAACCAAACGAGAATTAGATAGGATTGAAAGGGTAATGAATTTCCAATATTACTTAAATAAATTTATATTTTATTAAATTAATTTCTTTGACACGAAAATTTTAGGCGGCAATGAAACAATATAAAAAAGATATCATACTTGAAGCACCGGGGGCTTCAATGGCAACATTTACGTCTAAAAGTAACACAAAAGCACCACCTGGTAAAAGTTCGCTTAGTGAACATGATATGATATACGCAAGTTCAGGTGCAGAATCTTCTTCGTATATACCACCAGCAGATTCATTTGATCCAACAGAATTAAATAAAAAATCTGGTTCGGGTGATGGTACTGAGGTAGTGATTGGAGAGTGGAGACCTGTGACTCCACCAGCTGTTCCTCAAAAGAGTCAAGTTGATAATGAATCAAAATCTCAAGAGACAATTCCTCAGGAGGATGATGAGGATGAAGAAGATCCAGATGATCTGAGGAATTTTAAAGTGGTTGAGAAAACATTTCCATTGGATAATCAAATACCCGAAGATTCTATAAAGGATGAAGATTCTAGTAAAGTTACTTTCAAGAAAAGAAAATTTGCAGGAAAAGTCAAAACAAGGAATATCAGGAAAAAACCCAGTTAATTAAAATATTTTCAGATATTTTAAAGAAAACGTTTAAGTATTATTAAGCAAGACATAAACAATTTATTCAAGAAAATTTTAATTTAAAGCAAATTATGAAAAGAAGTTCTTTAATATGTCAAGAACGAACTTCTCGGCAAAAGAACGCATCATTTCATCCGTATTTGGTGGTAAATTGATGCTGACGAAGAATTGCTTATTAAATTTAGTAGCTTAAGATAGATGAAACGAATAATTGATATACTTTAGTAACTTGCAAAATAAAGTTCAAAATAACCATAATTTATTAAATCGTTGAATAAATTACCAAGTTTCTGTCCAAACTGCTTAGAAATTTCCTCCACATCATTTTTTAATACGGTTGTTCCGATAGAACCTTTGTTTCGTAAAAGTGGAGGCATAATAATCGCCAAGTCTCCTAATATTTCGTTCCCTTCAGTACCAACCCATATAAATACGGAATCTTTAAGTAATGTAAGTTGAAAATGTATCTGTTGTGATTGAAATAAATGACTGTAGGTATGGATTTGAAATTGTGGAGTGGCGACTTCTGACAACATATTTGAAAGATTCAACTTAGATCGATATTTAGTATTTATCCAAAATTTATCAATCACGAGCATAATGGACATTTAACTTATCTGCGATTTTATTGGTTGAATTTTGTGATGAACATTTTTGAAATATCACATAATTATTAATTTTGATTGGTATAAAATTGATCGTCATAAAAATTACCAAAATAGAAAGTTTAGATTTAAACTATTAAAAAATATTTTTCGGCTATTTTTTTTATAAAAAAATTCTTGAATTAACGTTAAATCAAAATATAAAAATATCAAATATACCTATATTTTTTATTAAAGGAACTTGCAACATTAAATTTAAAAGTAAAATTATAAATACACTAGATATTATACATTTAAACCACTATCAAATAATATTTGTGATTAATGTAAATGTTTAGATTAAGAAGAAGGTATAATATTTGTATATGATCATACTTTTCATCATAAATCTTTTTCAGAACAAAATAATAATTGTAAAAAATTCTATAAAAAAGGTGTTATCTTTAATGTAAAATCCTATATAAAAAGATTATAAAAAAGTGAATAGTTTATTAGATGATGAAATATTAGATAATGAAGAAGCAGCAATAATAGAAAAAATATTTTAAACTTGGTATTAAATAAAATATATTGTAATATGTATAATTTTAACCTTAAAATTTTAGCTCTCATCTAACTTTCTTAAGAGTAGAGATCTTCAAATCTTTTTTTACTCAAATGTAAAGAAAGGAATGAACGATATATTGATATAAAAAAAACTGCGCATCGATAGATTAGCCCTGTTCAGTTCTAGATCAGATTGTTCAGATCAGAAATTTTACCCCTAAATTATTGGCTAAAAAAACGATCAGTGATTAATCAATCTGATCTATAAAAATTGGTATTTACTTCTGACGATTTTATTAAAACAGACATGTCTTCGTGTCTAACTAAATTTTTGCTGAAGTTATAACCTTTACAATGTCTAACTCAAGAGTCCCCTTTCGTTCAATTGCTCTTAAACCACCTTCACAAGAAATTTTACAAGGTCCTTTACAAGACTTTTCACGAAAATTTCCACAAGAACTTCCACAAGAACTTTCACAAGAACTTTCATAAGCTCTACAAGTGCTACAAGGACTTTCACAAAAACTTCTACGAGAATCTTTACAAAGATATTCGCAAGAACTATTTGTACAAAATCCCGATATTATTGCTGTTGCTTTACCACAAACCTTACCTGAAATTCAGGAAGTAACACCTTTGCCAACTGCAAGAGCTTTTAAAAAGAAGACTGATTGAAAACTAGAGCTTGCTAAAGAAGAAACAGGTTGGGATGATAAAAGTACAGGATTGTTGTTAGGTTTTTTTGAGGATAATTTCGCTGCTTATAAAAAAAACAAGTCTAACTTTGCTAAATAAGCTGCTAATAAGATTTTCCCAGAAAAGTCATGAAAGCAGATAAAGAATAAATTATTTCGCCTTATAACTAAGTATAATAAAATCAAGGAAAAGGAAAACCAAACAGGAAGAGAAGCACAAGCAAAATGGAAATGGTTTGATAGACTGAATGCCTTATTTAGAACACGTAAAAATCATAATCCAGGGTTTATGGTAGATAGTTTTTCTGATACTACTCAATTGTTTGACAGTTATAAAGAGAAAGAAATTAATGAAGAAGCTCTAGTGATAGAAATAATAGACAAAGCTACCAAAAAATGAAAATCTTCTTCACAGGATTCATTGGCTGAAGCTATTATTTCTATAGGTAATACGCGTCAAGTGATTTAGGAAAAAAGGCTTGATCTTAAAAATGAATAGTTTAGTAAGCGGCAAGAATTTGAAAGAAAAGTTTGTGAAGCTGAATCAGCTTTTAAAAGAGAAGAATTAAAGGTTAAACAAACTAAAGCTGAAACATTATAAAAAAAAATGGAGTTTGAAATAGAGCAGTCACACATGGAGTATCAGCTTAAAATGAAAAAGTTAGACTTAAGAATGATGCAATATAAATCGATTTCACAATAACACAATAATAGTAATAATAATAATATAATAATA